TAGTGGCCGATCTCTTTGGAGTAATAGGTGAGTGGCGCCCAGGTGCTGCAAAGCATGCGATTCACCTCTGCATGCGATTCACCTCTGCATGCTTCACCTCTGCATGCGATTCACCTCTGCATGCTTCACCTCTGCATTCTTCACCTCTGCATGCTTCACCTCTGCATGCTTCACCTCTGCATGCTTCACCTCTGCATGCTTCACCTCTGCATGCTTCAACTCAAGATGACTTGCTGGTTAGTCTATCAGCTGACGAGATCACCACCTACCAAACCAACCACCAGCGAACCCCCTTCCCCACCTTGTACTGGCGCCAGTAACGCCCGATCTCCTTGGAATAATAGGTGAGTGGCGCCCAGCTGGTGAAGTGAACGCGCTTCAACTCTGCAAGCTTCAACTCGCGGGGCAGCCGCCGCACCACTGGCACGTCGCCTGCTAATGCAGAGATGAAGTGATCCGTGTCAAACACGTCAGAGAAGTTGCTGCAAGTAGGTGGGGAGAGAAAGTGGAGACAGCGGGGTTGGGGGGTGAGGATGACGAGGGTGAGAGGAGTGTGTGAGGCATGTCACCTGCAAGCGCGGCTATGAAATGATCTGTGTCAAACACGTCAGAGTTACCGCACCACACCTGGAGCCACCGCACCACACCTGCATTCACCTCACCGCACCTGGAGTCCCCTCACCGCACCTGGTGTCACCTCACCGCACCTGGAGTCACTGCACCGCACCTGGAGTCACTGCACCGCACCTGGAGTCACTGCACCGCACCTGGAGTCACTGCACCGCACCTGGAGTCACTGCACCGCACCTGGAGTCACTGCACCGCACCTGGAGTCACTGCACCGCACCTGGAGTCACTGCACCGCACCTGGAGTCCCCTCACCGCACCTGGAGTCACTGCACCGCACCTGGAGTCACCTCACCGCACCTGGAGTCACCTCACCGCACCTGGTGTCACTGCACCGCACCTGGAGTCACTGCACCGCACCTGGAGTCACCTCACCGCACCTGGTGTCACTGCACCGCACCTGGAGTCACTGCACCGCACCTGGAGTCACTGCACCGCACCTGGAGTCACTGCACCGCACCTGGAGTCACCTCACCGCACCTGGAGTCACCGCACCGCACCTGGAGTCACCGCACCGCACCTGGAGTCCTGCCAGAAGGAGCTCTTATCGAGCTCGGGAACGACAAGAGTGGCGTTGAGGATTCGCGCCACCGCCACCATGTCACAGATCTGCTCATGACCATGATGACATGTTTGAATAGGAGCAGAAGAGGTTATAAGTTGAAGATACCGTGTCGCAGATCCGTTTGTGACAATAACGAAGTGGGAGAGAAGGACACAGAAGTAAAATGAAATAGACGAAGACTAAGAACGAGCCACCAGCCACCAAGGCATAGAGACATTAACCACGGCGCATGCCATACATACCCCAGCGCGCATCTGGTTGAGCCCTCCATTGGCATGCACCGTCAGAAAGCCTCGTGTCCTCCTCCCACTGGCTGCCCCATGCCATGCCATGCCATGCCATGCCATGCCATGCCATGCCATGCCATGCCATCCCATGCCATGCCATCCCATCCCATGCCATGCCACGCCACGCCACGGCACGCCACGCCATGCCATGCCACGCCACGCCACGCCACGCCACGCCACGCCATGCCATGCCATGCCATGCCATGCCATGCCACGCCATGCCATGCCATGCAATGCCATGCCACGCCACGCCATGCCATGCCACGCCATGCCATCCAAAGAAGCATCATCCGTGTCATGCCATACCAAACAGTGCCGATCCGTCCATGCCATACAGTCGGACAAACAATGTACGCACGTACAAACATATTATACACCCCACAGACAAATAATCAGGTAGTTAACATTGCACAGCACATTGAACTTGCAAAGTACGGAAGGCAACCCCGTTAAAAGCATCTCACCGCCCACAACCCCTCACAAAGCCCTTCGCCCCTGTGCCCACCTCGCTTGTAGCTGTCGCTAGGCTCCACACACGGCCCATACCCATGCGAAGGAGGGTTCTGCCACAACCGCTTTTGAAGGTCCTCTGCCTGCCATCGCACATGGGATGGGATGGGTTGGCACATCGGATGGCATGGGATGGCACATGGGGTGGTATGGCATGGCACATGGGGTGGCATGGCATTGGCACATGGGATGGCGTGGCAGATGGCATAGCGTGGCAAATGGCATCGCGTGCCATGGACTCAAGAGCATGATGGTTCTCAAAATACTCGGGAGGAAAAACCTCTCAATCCACAGCATTTTAAGCATAAAAGCTTGCCAATGCTCGCCCAGCAACTCACGTTTACCACCACACACGTGCCTACCAAACAAAGAGCAGAATCACATAGAATCATAGAAGCTTCACCGCACCCACCCACATAGTAGCCAAAGCTGCTGAGATTTGATGCAGGCACAAGGAGCTGAGCTGTGTCTATGGCGAGTACAGCTAACCAACTCCCAGCCACACACCACACCCACTTGTGACCCACCTACCGGCTCACACCCACACCGTCACACACCCACCTTGTATCTCAGGCTACTGGGCTGTGATGCAGGCAGTCTAAGTTGACTAACTAGCGGCCAGCTCCCAGCCACATACCACACCGTCACCCACCCCCCACACCCACCGCACCCAGGGCACCCAGCGCACTCACTCACCCTGTAGCTCAGGCTGGTGGGCTCTGATGCAGGCACAAGGAGCTGCTCTGGCTCCTGCTCGGCAACACTGCTGCTTGGGTACGAAAGAGACTGGCTGGCTGAAGGCAGGAGGATCTGAGAGGGAGCGCGAATCTGTGAGCGGGACGGTGGGGTGAGCACAGCACCACATACGAAGTTTATTTTTTTTGGAAGGCAAGAGGATCTGAAAGGGGGTGCGAATTTATGGAAGGGACGATGAGGTGAGCACAGCACGGAATAAAAAGGCTGACGGATTTTGAGACGTCTCAAGAAAACTGGATCGCAGAAGAGTGGAGAACGTTATCACGACGGACAGCTGGCACCAGTACTTGTTCAGGATTTGCAATGAGGATCCAGTTCAATGATAAGGGTCTCACTGGAACCAGGTCGTATTTGATTCCTTGCCGCTGCAGCATCTGCAACGGATCTGGCGGCCCCCCATTGAAGTCCTCGTCCTCTCCTTCCTCCTCCATGTCCAAAACTCGAGAGTTTTCCCGCACTTTCGATCTCGGAGCGAGTTGCACGACCACCAACGCTGCGACTGCAGCCCAGACGAGCAGCCATACGATGCGAGAGCCGGTCAGCGCCGGCAGCGGTACTGACTGACGCATCTGGAGGGAGAGGGAGGAGGACGGGGAAGATAAACCGCCGTGATCAGCGTTGCTACTACTGCGCGCATGAGAAGCCACGTGTTGCGATACCCTTGAGTGCTGGTGGCGGAAACTAATTGAGACGTTAGGAAACAGTAAGGAGCAGACGCGAAAGGTGATTGAGATAGCCGACCGCTGGTGAGACGTTTCGGAAACGTCTCTAGTGCACTGGATGTTGAATTCGGTCAGTTGGCAGGTAGGCTGATAAGGCGCGTCTTTAGTGGAATTGGTCTGTAGTGAATTGGATGCTGACTTCGGCCAGTACGCCTGCAGGATCGGTATTTAATGCACAGAATGTTGAACTGTGGCGGTTGGCCAATACGATCGGTGGTCAGTACATTGGATGTTCAACAACATTCAAGTTGAATCCTGCCAGTCTATCATGTTCGACAACGAGCAACAGTGCAGCGAGGAGTGAGAGAATTACTCGTGAGGGAATCATGTGCTTCCGCTGCTTCAACGCGCGAGAACGTGGCGACATGGACGACCCTAGCTCGCGTTTCGAGGGAGCTTCATCTTGACGACGTGAAAGACAAGAACCATCTGGGTACGAATCCGTTTGCTCGAGATGGTCCGTTCGGTCGAGGCACTAGGCGATTATTTACAAACGAGAGCCCGAATGCAGACAGTTCTCGTCTTCTTCGCAGGCGAATCTCAACGGAAAGCACGCATTGTAGTGCTATCTTCGATCAGGAAGTTGATGCTCTCTGATCACCCACTAGGGAGGCCGGCTAAACTGATGGAATACCTGAACAACACCAAATCACAGTTCACGATTTACAAGTGTGCAAATGATGATCTTTAGGGAGCCAAATATGCCGAAACCCAAGATGGTAACTAGTTCGTCAACGCCCAGATCTCGTGTAACCAGTTTCGTCAACAAATCAAGGCGTTGCGCATTGCGCTGAAGGCCAAACCTTGGGAACTGATGACAAAGACCAGTCTGACGTGAGGTGATTGCAGAGAGCGACACCTGAAGATATGTGACACAATCCAAACATTACACACTACCGAAGTCTGGAAGATTTGCAAAAGTGTCTATATTTCATATGGTACACCGCAGAATGCGAACCGTGACCATTATAATTTGACATTCATCTACCTTCATTCTTGTTGAAATTGCCGCCAGGCGATTCAAAAAGTCATATCAGATACAGCATTCCCAAGAACCACGGATCAATTCTGCTCACTCGTGTTGTAGCGGCTCCGTGGGTCACGGCGGTCGGGCTAAGGCATGCTTGACCGGGCTTCACCTACATTACTATACGCTCGTTGCGGATCTCTGTGCTTCTTATATCTCACTCCTTATTACTAGTTAAAGCGCTGAAGCGCAGATGCAATTCCCTTTGAAGCTACTGCCGAAAAGGTATTGGCATAATAGTTACAGCCAATGATAAACTCGCTACTGATCATGCAACCTGGTGCGCGTTGCTTGGCTTAGAAACTCTCGGCGGGATTCAGCTTTACCGCGCCGTAGGTTCTATTCTCTCGCAGCAGCTCTACTTTCCGACTGTCTCTAGTAATATCAAGCGTCAGCTCTTCGTCGAGGTCAGACATATTCATCCCGCGAAGGCCCGATTCTGATCTCTCCCTGTTCGCGATCAAGCTTCGCTGTCAACTTTGCCGCTCCCTCGAGCAGAGCTGACGATGGGTTCCCGCGCCAAGTGGGATCCTTTCGTTGACGGCATTCTCGAGGTACGGTTCCGTTTGCGCAGTACCCAGGCTCCTTATAACGTGTTGGAAGTGGAATGGGAGACTCAAACATCCGTGTGAGACGTCTCGGAACCGAACTGAACCGCGCTGTAGCGTTCTGAGAGCGTCAGCACTGTACTGCATCCCTGAACGACGTGGTCAGGATCTTACGTTGTATGTCACCTGTACCACGCTTACGTAGTCAACGACTCTCGAACCATGTCGTGGTGACAAGCATAAGGAGGTTAACATGCAAATTACTTGTACGACGTCGAGTTGCCTCCGCAATGCCTGCGTGCGAGCGTTGGGGTGGGAACCTCCTAGCTCGAGTCACTAACCCGTGATCCTGTTCGTGTGGGTGCGTGCGTGGTTGTTTGCGTGCATGCGTGCATGCTTGCATGCGTCCATGCGTGCATGCGCGTATGTGTACATGTCTGCATGTGTGCCTGCATGCGTGCGTGTTACCTGCTTTACTCCATCACCCATACAGATACGGGTCCGGAACTGGCTCGAGGCAGTGTTGAAAGAGAAGCTACCGCCTGATACCGCCCTGGCGGATATTCTTTCAGACGGCATGATCCTGTGAGTCCCTTCTCATTGTTGATCTATGTCCTCCTGATCAGGCATTTTTTATACAATTTCCTGTTAACTTAATTGACGTAGATTTTCACTCTTCATCCTTCAATCGCGTCACACTCCCCTCCTCTGGGGCCTCCGCTTGGCCCTTCGCTCCGCCCTGCACCGTCAGGTCACGGTTGACTGAGATCCTCTCGCCGTTCGCACCTAAGGGTGCTGGGATCAACCAACGGCATCAGCAGCAGCAACAGCAGCAACAGGGATGGGGCACGAAGATCAAGTGGGATGCAATGACATTCACTGATAACTTTCTCACGGTACCTCCTCAACTGCCTTCTCTCATTGCATTCTGGGGTGCCTTAAGATCGAGTTTTGCGACGGCTAAACACTCAAGTGGGGTGCCATGATCCTTACTGTGCAACACGTTTGGGCTGAGCGCCGTCGACCTGTACACGTCAACAGCCAATGCTAGTGTTGTGCTCAAATATTTCGTCCCACCCTTCCCCCGCTCCCCCCTCCTTATCCCCCCACGAACCCTCGACCTCTCCTGCTATGTCAGATGTGCAAGGCGTTTGGGCTGAGCGCCATCGATCTGTTCACATCAACAGACGTGGTGGAGAAGAAGGGCACCAAACGCGTGTGCCTCTGCATCCGCGCCCTCGCCCTCAAGCTCAGAGCGGCCGGCATCCTGGTGAGAGCTTCACGTTGTAGGAAGGGACTGTGTTTATTCTTCTTCTTCCGTCCCAATGCTCACGCGTTTAGCTCTACCCCCTCGTCCTCTGCTTTCAAGCTCAGAGCGGCCTTCATCCTGGTGGTGAGCCTTTCTTGTATGCCCTTTTTGTCATAGACTCTGAGCCAGCATCTGAGTTGACCATACCCCAACCTGAACCCTCCACCCCCGTACCCCTTTGGGCCCATCGTCGAGTATTAACCTCCCTACCTCCACCCTCCATCAGGCCATAGACTTATGAGCCGGCATTTGAGTCGACCCAAACTTCAACCTCAAAGCTCCGTCCCCCTACCATCCCCCACCAATTCAGGCGATAGACTTTGAGCCGGCGTCGGCAGCAGCAGCAGTGAGTGTGGCGAAGCGCATGCCAGCAGAGGGGGGTGTGGTGGACCGCGCAGTGAGGGAGTTCATGGGGCCCAACTACAGGCGCGGGTGGGGTAGGGAGGACGTGCCTGCCAGCCGATCAGGCTCGGAGAACAGCTTTGATATAACTGGCTGGGGCAGCGCTGCAGCTGGTGCTGCTGGTGATGGTAGCACTGATGGTGTTAATGGTGTCAGTGGTGGTGGTGATGGTGATGGTGTTGCTGCTGATAGCAAGGCAGGGGGCCAAGAAGCGAAGCAGATGGAGAATGGGAAGGGCAGGGGGAAAGTGTCAAGCCTCGTCAGCAAAGGCTTTAGCTCTGTCTCTAACGAAGCAGAACCAAAACCAAAAAGCGTCCCAGATGTTCCTCCTGTCTCAAGACTGGACCCTCACATGGTTTGGCCTCCCCCCTCCGACCGCCTGGCAGTCTCAGCGGAAGCAGCAGGCAGCTTCTATGCCAGCTTGGATGCTTCTCGTGATCCGTCGTTCGATGCGGTTACCACGTCGGCTGGAGCAACCTCCTCTCTCACGGACGTTTCGGCAGGTGTTACAACAGTTTGTCATACGGAAGGGGAGGAGGATTTGGAATCTGATTATTCATCCTGCCCGTCTTCGCCCCGGGCAGCGCCACATGCCCCGTGGAGAGCTATTGTCGGAGGGGCGATAGCCTTTGTGGCTGTGATGCTGCTGTTCCGACCATCCAGGTGAGTTTCTGTGGCTCTAGTTTTGTTTCTTATTTAATGATGCACCGTTTCTCTTTTCGGTCTGTGCATCATGTTACCGTATCATGTCTTATTAAGCTTGCTCCATCTATTTTCTTTTGTGCTGTTGCAGGAAAAAGTACCAAATAAAGAAGGGAGACACTCTTATACACATTTCAAAGCAGGTTGGGAAGCGCAATTGGAAGGAGATTGCAGAACTCAACCCAGACATTTACAACCCTGACCTAATCTTCCCTAACAAATATGTCGTTGTAGACTAGATAATAGTGAGCTATCCAGACACATTGCACGTAAGTGTGAAGTGGGGAAGCCTTTTGAGATGCGAAAGTAGCGGCTATCACTATGGTATGTTTGTAGTAGTTTAATGGCTTCTGGTCTGGAGCTTGTGTATTGGGTTGTGTTGTCATACATTCGATTAGATGTAGTATGTGGGCCGTCATAACTGTATATATGTTCTGTCAATGTCTTGCGCCGGAGCACACGATGTCGCGTAAAATGTGAACAAGTTTTCACTCGAGCATTTATTGCTCATGCGAATTCCAACCCAATTCTGCAGCCATGGCTCCTCCATGTCTTCTCACGCGAATCCACGTCAGGAAGCGCGTCTCTTCCCCAAGAAGTTTCACGCTTCTCGTGCTCGTCGCTCTCCTCGTCAATCTTGTTGCTCTTTCCCATTCTAGCTTCAAGGTCCCCAAGCGTTCTTTCACGAACCACGTTCATTCGAATTTGAACGACTCGTTCAAAAACCACGGTCTCGCTGACCCGTCTGCGGAGGCCGTCGCGTTGCCAGCGCCCTTGGAGAATATTTCAGATGCGGCGCATGCGGAGCGTTGGGTTGATCAAGCAATCCTGACCGTCGATGGAGCGGCTCAAGGCCGTCCGATTTCGCCTTCCTTCTTCGGCATATTTCTTGAGGTAGTTGCTTCGTGAGGATTGCGTGTCCATTCATCCCACATTCGCCGCATATTGCCGGTAATGCCTTTTCAAGTGCTGTATCCTGAGACGTCCTTGATTATGAATGGGATTGCTTTGGTATTTCTCGGCGTGTTGTCGACATTTCAGAAGATTACTTCCAATATCAGTCCCCGTGCGTGTGATCATGTGTGCATGTGTGCGCGCGTGTGTGTGTGCGCGCGCGCGCATGTGCGCAGGAGATCAACCACGGGGGCGCGGGAGGGCTGTACGCGGAGCTGGTGCAGAACAGAGGCAAGTTGGAAAGGAGGGGAGGGAAGGGGGAGGCAGGGGGAGCAGTGGGAAGAGGGAAATTGGAAGGAGGGCAGGGGGGACGAAGTGTTTGTTTGAAGGGGGGGTGAATGGGGGACAAAGGGAGGAGAGGTAACGGAGCAGAATAGAGAGTGGAATAACTGGTATTCCTATGTGTAGGATTCTCATAGATTTCTATTTGTAGATACCTCTGCTCATTGTGACGCTCTCTCTGTTATACGTTCCACGTACGTACCCATACATGCAAGTCCCCTCATCTATTCCCCAGAGCCGCTCCCGCACCCACCTCCTCCCATTCCGCCGCCCCTGCTCGCCCGTCCCTACTCTGACTTCAGGGCTCCAAACAGGCGGGCCGGAACCCATGGCAGGAAAATTCACTGCCCCCCTCCACGGTGCACCACGAGCGTCCAGCGGATGGCTGCCCCCATCCGCTGAGAGCCCCACGAGCTGCTGCGCTGCGCACGGAGCCCTGAGTGTTTTCCCCACGCCCTTAACGTGCCCTTTCCCCACTGCAGGATTCTACGCGGGCGGGGGAAAACCCCCTCCACGCTGCACCCATGCCGCCCATCCTCCTTGCTGTTGCTGCTCCCATGCATGATTTAGAGCCCCACGTGCTGCTGTGTGTTGCACTAAGCGCTGCTCTCTCCTTCTCGCCCACACGACAGGATTCGAGGCGGGCGGGCAGGAAATCCCCTCCGCGATCCACCCATGGCTGCCCATCGTATTCGAGCCCCACGTGCTGCTAAGCACAGAACGCTGCTCGCCCTTCCTCTCACAGGTTTCATACCTTCACGTCGTTCATGAATCACTGCAGGTTTCGAAGCAGGCGGACAGGAAACCCCCTCCACGGTGCAACCATGGCTGCCTATTGGCTCAGAGCCCCACGTGCTGCTAAGCACGGAGCGCTGCTCGCCCTTCCCCCGCAACCCCATCGCCCTGCGCATTGACATCCGCTGTGCGCCACCGCCATCCCCTGGTGGGGGCAACCCCACGCCTGAAGCAGCGAGCACGGGCGAGCAGCACTTGGAGCTCCCCTCGCAACGAGACGAGGGGCAGCATGAGACGGGAGCACTTGGGGCTGTGGGCTGGGAACCCGCCCTGGGACGGGGGGCTGCTGTCCGCCAGCTCTCTGCTTCACGTGGGCTCACCCACGGGGAGGGACAGCCCGGGCGTGTGGTGGAATCCCCTCCTTTGCCTGGGGATTCCACCACACGCCCTCCTTTGCCTGGGGATTCCACCACACGCCCGGGCAGCCCCTCCCAATTGGCTGCCGCTGGGGTGGGCGTGTGGGCGGCTGTGAGGCAGTGGCTAGGGGGGTGGCTGGGGGTGAGGCTCGCGGATGGAGATTCCCGGGGAGAACTGGCAGGGCGGGGCGTTGGTGGTGGTGGCAAGGGGAGGGAGGGGCACGGAGAGGGGCGGGAGGAGGGAGAGGAGGGAGAGGAGGGAGAGGAGGGAGAGGAGGGGCGGGCGTGTGAGGATGGTGTGGGGGTGCTCAATCCCAGCTACTGGGGCATGGTGAGGGGTCATCATGCTCCTCTCATCGTCCCATCATGCCCCATCATGCCATCATGCCCCATCCTCCCAGCATCCCACCATTCCACCTGCAATGGAGCAATCAGAATACCCTTCGACATGCACGTCCGTGCTTACAACATTATTCGACGCAGCACGATAACTCTTATTATTTCGCATAGTTTTTAGTATGACACCCTCCTACTACTCTACCCATCCCTATCCCATGTCCCATCATCCCATGTCAGATAATCCCATGCCCCACCATGCTATGCCCCGTCATCCCATCATCCCACCCCCCATCAGAGCATACAGCGAGGCCATCCATACAACATCATCCTGCACGCACGTGCCTCGGCCCCCCTCTCCCTCCGCCTCTCCTTCCTCTGCTCGCCCGCCCTCCTCCCCTCTCGCCCCCTCTCTTCCGTTCCCACTGTTGGGTCAGCCCATATCAGGTGAGGTATTATCACGTCCCTTCCACATGAGCCGTCATGCTTACCACAATGCACACACTCTGGAATGGAAATGCTGCAACACCACGCCACGCCATGACACAACATGCCCTCACCTCTCACGTTCCAACCCCCCACGCTTTCCCCCTTCCCCCCTTTCCTCCTCAGTGCGTCATACTCTTGTCTAATGATACCCAACTGCCCCTCCTTACTTCCCTCCCCCTCTGTTGCTGCCAGCCTCAACCAATCCATGGCTGCCACGTGGCACCGCTACGAAGCCACCATCTTTGCAACCGGCACGTGCCACAATGCCTCGCTGGCCATCACCACTGGCAGCATGACACGTGGCACTCTGTGGCTGGACCAGATATCAGCCATGCCAACAGAAACATTCAAGGTGGGTCAATGCTGCTGGACAGAGCTGCTTTTTGAGGCGCCACAAGAATCGTCTCAGCTACTCTTACAGAATCGTCTCAGCTTATTTACTTCTGGAGGTAAGTGAAACCATGGGGCCTGGGTCACTCATAGAGTCGTAAACCCATGCATGCAACCATGCACCCATGCACCCATGCACCCATGCACCCATGCACCCATGCACCCATGCACCCATGGACCCATGCACCCATGCACCCATGCACCCATGCACCCATGCACCCATGGACCCATGCACCCATGCACCCATGCACCCATGCACCCATGCACCCATGCCCCCATGCACCCATGCACCCATGCACCCATGGACCCATGGACCCATGCACCCATGCACCCATGCACCCATGCACCCATGCACCCATGCACCCATGCACCCATGCACCCATGCCCCCATGCACCCATGCACCCATGCACCCATGGACCCATGCCCCCATGCACCCATGCACCCATGCACCCATGCACCCATGTTCCACCCACAGGCTCACAGCATGCATGGGGGCATAGCAGGCATGCTTGAGGCTCTCTCCCCCGGCTTCATGTGATTCCCAGGTGGCTGCTACGTGGAGGGAGTGCGGCTGCTTTTAAAGCTGCTACATGGGTGGGTGTATGGGAGTACCCAATGCCCTGCACCCCCACTTCCGTACACCCATGTTCCACCCATCCAGTCTCACGGCATGCGGGTGGATATAGCCACCATGCTCCAGGGCCTCTCCCCTGGCTTCATGCGATTCCCAGGCGGCTGCTATGTGGAGGGCGTGCGGCTGGCCAATGCGTTCCGCTGGCGCGCCACCATCGGCCCTTGGGAACTCCGCCCCGGGCACTTTAATGACCGGTGGGTCTGTTGCCTATCCAACGACAGGTGGGAAGAGTGGGGGCTATTTCCCATGTCCTCGGAATGCCAGTGGATCTGGCCAATGCGTTCCTCTGGCGCGCCACCATCGGCCCTTGGTAACTCTGCCCCGGGCACTTCAACGACAGGTGGTTCCCTCTGTTGGTTGCTTTGATCAAGTGCATTACTGAGTACTGGGAATAACAGTGGAATAACAGTCAGGTGCCTCCAACATGTGCCGGCCTCTCTTTCCCCAATGCACGCACCCCCATTCCCATCCATCCCACCCCACCAGGTGGGGCTATTGGTCGGACGACGGGTTGGGCTTCTTTGAGTATCTTCAGTTTGCAGAGGACCTTGGCGCCACGCCCATCTGGGTGTTTAATAGCGGTGAGAGTGGGTTGGTGGGTGTTTAACAGCGGTGAGAGTGGGTTGGTGGGTGCTTAATAGCGGTGAGAGTGGGTTGGCGGGTGTTTAATAGCGGTGAGAGTGGCTGGGTGGGTGTTTAATAGCGGTGAGAGTGGCTGGGTGGGTGTTTAATAGCGGTGAGAGTGGCTGGGTGGGTGTTTAATAGCGGTGAGAGTGGGTTGGTGGGTGTTTAATAGCGGTGAGAGTGGCTGGGTGGGTGTTTAATAGCGGTGAGAGTGGCTGGGTGGGTGTTTAATAGCGGTGAGAGTGGCTGGGTGGGTGTTTAATAGCGGTGAGAGTGGCTGGGTGGGTGTTTAATAGCGGTGAGAGTGGCTGGGTGGGTGTTCAATAGCGGCGAGAGTGGGTTGTTGGGTGTCTAATAGCGGTGAGAGTGGGTTGGTGGGTGTTTAATAGCGGTGAGAGTGGCTGGGTGGGTGTTTAATAGCGGTGAGGGTGGCTGGGTGGATGTTTAATAGTGGTGAGAGTGGCTGGGTGGGTGTTTAATAGCGGTGAGAGTGGCCGGGTGGGTGTTTAATAGCGGTGAGAGTGGCTGGGTGGGTGTTTAATAGCGGTGAGAGTGGCTGGGTGGGTGTTTAATAGCGGCGAGAGTGGGTTGTTGGGTGTTTAATAGCGGTGAGAGTGGGTTGGTGGGTGTTTAATAGCGGTGAGAGTGGCTGGATGGGTGTTTAATAGCGGTGAGGGTGGCTGGGTGGGTGTTTAATAGCGGTGAGAGTGGCTGGGTGGGTGTTTAATAGCTGTGAGAGTGGCTGGGTGGGTGTTTAATAGCAGTGAGAGTGGGTTGGTGGGTGTTTAATAGCGGTGAGAGTGGCTGGGTGGGTGTTTAATAGCGGTGAGAGTGGCTCGGTGGGTGTTTAATAGCGGCGAGAGTGGGTTGTTGGGTGTTTAATAGCGGTGAGAGTGGCTGGGTGGGTGTTTAATAGCGGTGAGAGTGGCTGGGTGGGTCTTTAATAGCGGTGAGAGTGGCCGGGTGGGTGTTTAATAGCGGTGAGAGTGGCTGGGTGGGTGTTTAATAGCGGCGAGAGTGGGTTGTTGGGTGTTTAATAGCGGTGAGAGTGGGTTGGTGGGTGTTTAATAGCGGTGAGAGTGGCTGGGTGGGTGTTTAATAGCGGTGAGAGTGGGTTGGTGGGTGTTTAATAGCGGTGAGAGTGGCTGGGTGGGTGTTTAATAGCGGTGAGAGTGGGTTGGTGGGTGTTTAATAGCGGTGAGAGTGGCTGGGTGGGTGTTTAATAGCGGTGAGAGTGGGTTGGTGGGTGTTTAATAGCGGTGAGAGTGGCTGGGTGGGTGTTTAATAGCGGTGAGAGTGGCTGGGTGGGTGTTTAATAGCGGTGAGAGTGGCTGGGTGGGTGTTTAATAGCGGTGAGAGTGGCTGGGTGGGTGTTTAATAGCGGTGAGAGTGGCTGGGTGGGTGTTTAATAGCGGTGAGAGTGGCTGGGTGGGTGTTCAATAGCGGCGAGAGTGGGTTGTTGGGTGTTTAATAGCGGTGAGAGTGGGTTGGTGGGTGTTTAATAGCGGTGAGAGTGGCTGGGTGGGTGTTTAATAGCGGTGAGGGTGGCTGGGTGGATGTTTAATAGTGGTGAGAGTGGCTGGGTGGGTGTTTAATAGCGGTGAGAGTGGCTGGGTGGGTGTTTAATAGCTGTGAGAGTGGCTGGGTGGGTGTTTAATAGCAGTGAGAGTGGGTTGGTGGGTGTTTAATAGCGGTGAGAGTGGCTGGGTGGGTGTTTAATAGCGGTGAGAGTGGCTGGGTGGGTGTTTAATAGCGGTGAGAGTGGCTGGGTGGGTGTTTAATAGCGGTGAGAGTGGCTGGGTGGGTGTTTAATAGCGGTGAGAGTGGCTGGGTGGGTGTTCAATAGCGGCGAGAGTGGGTTGTTGGGTGTTTAATAGCGGTGAGAGTGGGTTGGTGGGTGTTTAATAGCGGTGAGAGTGGCTGGGTGGGTGTTTAATAGCGGTGAGGGTGGCTGGGTGGATGTTTAATAGTGGTGAGAGTGGCTGGGTGGGTGTTTAATAGCGGTGAGAGTGGCCGGGTGGGTGTTTAATAGCGGTGAGAGTGGCTGGGTGGGTGTTTAATAGCGGTGAGAGTGGCTGGGTGGGTGTTTAATAGCGGCGAGAGTGGGTTGTTGGGTGTTTAATAGCGGTGAGAGTGGGTTGGTGGGTGTTTAATAGCGGTGAGAGTGGCTGGATGGGTGTTTAATAGCGGTGAGGGTGGCTGGGTGGGTGTTTAATAGCGGTGAGAGTGGCTGGGTGGGTGTTTAATAGCTGTGAGAGTGGCTGGGTGGGTGTTTAATAGCAGTGAGAGTGGGTTGGTGGGTGTTTAATAGCGGTGAGAGTGGCTGGGTGGGTGTTTAATAGCGGTGAGAGTGGCTCGGTGGGTGTTTAATAGCGGCGAGAGTGGGTTGTTGGGTGTTTAATAGCGGTGAGAGTGGCTGGGTGGGTGTTTAATAGCGGTGAGAGTGGCTGGGTGGGTCTTTAATAGCGGTGAGAGTGGCCGGGTGGGTGTTTAATAGCGGTGAGAGTGGCTGGGTGGGTGTTTAATAGCGGCGAGAGTGGGTTGTTGGGTGTTTAATAGCGGTGAGAGTGGGTTGGTGGGTGTTTAATAGCGGTGAGAGTGGCTGGGTGGGTGTTTAATAGCGGTGAGAGTGGGTTGGTGGGTGTTTAATAGCGGTGAGAGTGGCTGGGTGGGTGTTTAATAGCGGTGAGAGTGGGTTGGTGGGTGTTAAATAGCGGTGAGAGTGGCTGGGTGGGTGTTTAATAGCGGTGAGAGTGGGTTGGTGGGTGTTTAATAGCGGTGAGAGTGGCTGGGTGGGTGTTTAATAGCGGTGAGAGTGGCTGGGTGGGTGTTTAATAGCGGTGAGAGTGGCTGGGTGGGTGTTTAATAGCGGTGAGAGTGGCTGGGTGGGTGTTTAATAGCGGTGAGAGTGGCTGGGTGGGTGTTTAATAGCGGTGAGAGTGGCTGGGTGGGTGTTTAATAGCTGTGAGAGTGGCCGGGTGGGTGTTTAATAGCGGTGAGAGTGGCTGGGTGGGTGTTTAATAGCGGTGAGAGTGGGTTGGTGGGTGTTTAATAGCGGTGAGAGTGGCTGGGTGGGTGTTTAATAGCGGTGAGAGTGGGTTGGTGGGTGTTTAATAGCGGTGAGAGTGGGTTGGTGGGTGTTTAATAGCGGTGAGAGTGGCTGGGTGGGTGTTTAATAGCGGTGAGAGTGGCTGGGTGGGTGTTTAATAGCGGTGAGAGTGGCTGGGTGGGTGTTTAATAGCGGTGAGAGTGGCTGGGTGGGTGTTTAATAGCGGTGAGAGTGGCTGGGTGGGTGTTTAATAGCGGTGAGAGTGGCTGGGTGGGTGTTCAATAGCGGCGAGAGTGGGTTGTTGGGTGTTTAATAGCGGTGAGAGTGGGTTGGTGGGTGTTTAATAGCGGTGAGAGTGGCTGGGTTGGTGTTTAATAGCGGTGAGGGTGGCTGGGTGGATGTTTAATAGTGGTGAGAGTGGCTTGGTGGGTGTTTAATAGCGGTGAGAGTGGCTGGGTGGGTGTTTAATAGCTGTGAGAGTGGCTGGGTGGGTGTTTAATAGCAGTGAGAGTGGGTTGGTGGGTGTTTAATAGCGGTGAGAGTGGCTGGGTGGGTGTTTAATAGCGGTGAGAGTGGCTGGGTGGGTGTTTAATAGCGGTGAGAGTGGCTGGGTGGGTGTTTAATAGCGGTGAGAGTGGCTGGGTGGGTGTTTAATAGCGGTGAGAGTGGCTGGGTGGGTGTTCAATAGCGGCGAGAGTGGGTTGTTGGGTGTTTAATAGCGGTGAGAGTGGGTTGGTGGGTGTTTAATAGCGGTGAGAGTGGCTGGGTGGGTGTTTAATAGCGGTGAGGGTGGCTGGGTGGATGTTTAATAGTGGTGAGAGTGGCTGGGTGGGTGTTTAATAGCGGTGAGAGTGGCTGGGTGGGTGTTTAATAGCTGTGAGAGTGGCTGGGTGGGTGTTTAATAGCAGTGAGAGTGGGTTGGTGGGTGTTTAATAGCGGTGAGAGTGGGTTGATGGGTGTTTAATAGCGGTGAGAGTGGCTGGGTGGGTGTTTAATAGCGGTGAGAGTGGGTTGGTGGGTGTTTAATAGCGGTGAGAGTGGCTGGGTGGGTGTTTAATAGCGGTGAGAGTGGCTGGGTGGGTGTTTAATAGCGGTGAGAGTGGCTGGGTGGGTGTTTAATAGCGGTGAGAGTGGCTGGGTGGGTGTTTAATAGCTGTGAGAGTGGCCGGGTGGGTGTTTAATAGCGGTGAGAGTGGCTGGGTGGGTGTTTAATAGCGGTGAGAGTGGCTGGGTGGGTGTTTAATAGCGGCGAGAGTGGGTTGTTGGGTGTTTAATAGCGGTGAGAGTGGCTGGGTGGGTGTTTAATAGCGGTGAGAGTGGCTGGGTGGGTGTTTAATAGCGGTGAGAGTGGCTGGGTGGGTATTTAATAGCGGTGAGAGTGGCTGGGTGGGTGTTTAATAGCGGCGAGAGTGGGTTGTTGGGTGTTTAATAGCGGTGAGAGTGGGTTGGTGGGTGTTTAATAGCGGTGAGAGTGGCTGGGTGGGTGTTTAATAGCGGTGAGGGTGGCTGGGTGGGTGTTTAATAGCGGTGAGAGTGGCTGGGTGGGTGTTTAATAGCGGTGAGAGTGGCTGGGTGGGTGTTTAATAGCAGTGAGAGTGGGTTGGTGGGTGTTTAATAGCGGTGAGAGTGGGTTGGTGGGTGTTTAATAGCGGTGAGAGTGGCTGGGTGGGTGTTTATAGCGGTGAGAGTGGCTGGGTGGGTGTTTAATAGCGGTGAGAGTGGGTTGGTGGGTGTTTAATAGCGGTGAGAGTGGCTGGGTGGGTGTTTAATAGCGGTGAGAGTGGGTTGGTGGGTGTTTAATAGCGGTGAGAGTGGCTGGGTGGGTGTTTAATAGCGGTGAGAGTGGCTGGGTGGGTGTTTAATAGCGGTGAGAGTGGCTGGGTGGGTGTTTAATAGCGGTGAGAGTGGCTGGGTGGGTGTTTAATAGCGGTGAGAGTGGCTGGGTGGGTGTTTAATAGCGGTGAGAGTGGCTGGGTGGGTGTTCAATAGCGGCGAGAGTGGGTTGTTGGGTGTTTAATAGCGGTGAGAGTGGGTTGGTGGGTGTTTAATAGCGGTGAGAGTGGCTGGGTGGGTGTTTAATAGCGGTGAGGGTGGCTGGGTGGATGTTTAATAGTGGTGAGAGTGGCTGGGTGGGTGTTTAATAGCGGTGAGAGTGGCTGGGTGGGTGTTTAATAGCTGTGAGAGTGGCTGGGTGGGTGTTTAATAGCAGTGAGAGTGGGTTGGTGGGTGTTTAATAGCGGTGAGAGTGGGTTGATGGGTGTTTAATAGCGGTGAGAGTGGCTGGGTGGGTGTTTAATAGCGGTGAGAGTGGGTTGGTGGGTGTTTAATAGCGGTGAGAGTGGCTGGGTGGGTGTTTAATAGCGGTGAGAGTGGCTGGGTGGGTGTTTAATAGCGGTGAGAGTGGGTTGGTGGGTGTTTAATAGCGGTGAGAGTGGCTGGGTGGGTGTTTAATAGCGGTGAGAGTGGCTGGGTGGTTGTTTAATAGCGGTGAGAGTGGCTGGGTGGGTGTTTAATAGCGGTGAGAGTGGCTGGGTGGGTGTTTAATAGCGGTGAGAGTGGCTGGGTGGGTGTTTAATAGCTGTGAGAGTGGCCGGGTGGGTGTTTAATAGCGGTGAGAGTGGCTGGGTGGGTGTTTAATAGCGGTGAGAGTGGGTTGGTGGGTGTTTAATAGCGGTGAGAGTGGCTGGGTGGGTGTTTAATAGCGGTGAGAGTGGGTTGGTGGGTGTTTAATAGCGGTGAGAGTGGCTGGGTGGGTGTTTAATAGCGGTGAGAGTGGCTGGGTGGGTGTTTAATAGCGGTGAGAGTGGGTTGGTGGGTGTTTAATAGCGGTGAGAGTGGCTGGGTGGGTGTTTAATAGCGGTGAGAGTGGCTGGGTGGGTGTTTAATAGCGGTGAGAGTGGCTGGGTGGGTGTTTAATAGCGGTGAGAGTGGCTGGGTGGGTGTTTAATAGCTGTGAGAGTGGCCGGGTGGGTGTTTAATAGCGGTGAGAGTGGCTGGGTGGGTGTTTAATAGCGGTGAGAGTGGCTGGGTGGGTGTTTAATAGCGGCGAGAGTGGGTTGTTGGGTGTTTAATAGCGGTGAGAGTGGCTGGGTGGGTGTTTAATAGCGGTGAGAGTGGCTGGGTGGGTGTTTAATAGCGGTGAGAGTGGCTGGGTGGGTATTTAATAGCGGTGAGAGTGGCTGGGTGGGTGTTTAATAGCGGCGAGAGTGGGTTGTTGGGTGTTTAATAGCGGTGAGAGTGGGTTGGTGGGTGTTTAATAGCGGTGAGAGTGGCTGGGTGGGTGTTTAATAGCGGTGAGGGTGGCTGGGTGGGTGTTTAATAGCGGTGAGAGTGGCTGGGTGGGTGTTTAATAGCGGTGAGAGTGGCTGGGTGGGTGTTTAATAGCAGTGAGAGTGGGTTGGTGGGTGTTTAATAGCGGTGAGAGTGGGTTGGTGGGTGTTTAATAGCGGTGAGAGTGGCTGGGTGGGTGTTTATAGCGGTGAGAGTGGCTGGGTGGGTGTTTAATAGTGGCGAGAGTGGGTTGTTGGGTGTTTACTAGTGGTGAGAGTGGGTTGGTGGGTATTTAATAGCGGTGAGAGTGGCTGGGTGGGTGTTGAATAGTGGTGAGTGTGGCTGGGTGGGTGTTTGATAGCGGTGAGAGTGGCTGGGTGGGTGTTTAATAGCGGTGAGAGTGGCTGGGTGGGTGTTTAATAGCGGTGAGAGTGGCTGGGTGGGTATTTAATAGCGGTGAGAGTGGCTGGGTGGGTGTTTAATAGCGGTGAGAGTGGCTGGGTGGGTGTTTAATAGTGGTGAGAGTGGCTGGGTGGGTGTTCAATAGCGGTGAGAGTGGCTGGGTGGGTGTTTAATAGCGGTGAGAGTGGCTGGGTGGGTGTTTGATAGCGGTGAGAGTGGCTGGGTGGGTGTTTAATAGCGGTGAGAGTGGCTGGGTGGGTGTTTAATAGCGGTGAGAGTGGCTGGGTGGGTATTTAATAGCGGTGAGAGTGGCTGGGTGGGTGTTTAATAGCGGTGAGAGTGGCTGGGTGGGTGTTTAATAGTGGTGAGAGTGGCTGGGTGGGTGTTTATTAGCGGTGAGAGTGGCTGGGTGGGTGTTTAATAGCGGTGAGAGTGGCTGGGTGGGTGTTTAATAGCGGTGAGAGTGGCTGGGTGGGTGTTTAATAGCGGTGAGAGTGGCTGGGTGGGTGTTCAATAGCGATAAGACTGGGTGTCCAACAGTGGTAAGATGAAGCAGATTCGGATCAAAGTGTTGAGGACCTAGTTGTGTGGTCAATCGTAGTGAGCTGACAAGTGATGCAAGAAGGACACCTTGTTGCATCGGCCATGTGTGTTGTGTGGTCAATCGTAGTGAGCTGACACAGGTTAGGCACTGGCACAGAGACGGCCTATCTGCCCATTGTTGTGGGCAGATGTCACACCACTTATGAGAAATCTCTCCCCACTGCTTGATGCAACAGCATACATCAGTGCTTTCCCACCTGCCATTTTGTCTCTTCCTCTCCCATCCCATACACACCCATGCACTGAGGGATCACTCCCCACTGCCAGTTCACAGGCACCCTCGCTCCTTTCATTCAGGTCACCCCATTCGCACCTCCCTCCTTCTCACCTCTCCCTCTTCCATGCTCTCCCATGCACTCCCATGCGCTGCCATGCAGGCAACAGCCACACGGACAGCGTGTTCACAGGCGCCCTCGCTCCTTTCATTCAGGTCAGCTGCCCTCCCCCCTTCGCACCTCTCTTCTTCCCACCTTGGGCATGGAAGGTCGAGCAAAGCCCATGAAATTTCTGAGGTAGTTCCTGCTTTGAGAATCGCGTTGGATCAATCTTAAGCGCACGTGCACTCCTAAGCTAGGGGCCTATGTCCCTCTTTCGTGCCCACCCACTCCTCAACTCCCATCCTCTGTGTTGCTCTCTGCCACGTGGCGCCACAGGAGGTGCTTGACGGAATCGAGTTCGCACGAGGGCCGTCGGATTCGCGGTGGGGAGCGGAGAGGGCGGCTATGGGCCATCCTGAACCGTTTGATCTGCGGCATGTGGGCATCGGGAATGAGAACTGCTACCAGGAAAACTACCGAGGTGAGGGCATGTGTGTTACGAGGGGAAGCAAGTGTGTTGTTTGATGTGAGTGAATGGGCATGTGGGCACGTGGGCTTTGGGAATGAGAATTGCTACCAGGACAACTACCGAGGTAAAGCAGTGGTGAAGGCCTAGCGTTGCCGTGCCGCAAGCCGATGCTGTTTGAAATAATAGATCTGTTCGTTTGGGCATGTATGTCTTTCCCTTTCTCATCCTGCACCCACCACGCCTGCTCGCCTCGCCCTCGCCACCTTCCAGGCAACTTCCTTCGTTTCCGGGCGGCAATCAAGGCGGCATATCCCGACATGGCAGTGGTGTACACGTGTGACATCAGCAAGGGGCCTCCTGACCACCCTCCCACCGACCTCTACGATTTCCATGTACGTCGAGTGGCCGCCTTGGGATGGCACTCCGGCCTGCGGTTCTGTGCGGTGCTGCACGATGCTGAGCTTTTCTGTGTTCTGCTGTGTGGTGTTGTGCGGTGCAGTGCAATGCGGCGCAGTGTGATGTAGTGCTGCTCGTGGTTGCCACATGGCTGCATGTGCCGAACCTCTTAGACGTCTCAACACGTGACGTTTCGAAGGCATTCCCGCGTGGTGCACTCGCCATGCATACGGTTCCGTTACGTCTGATCCTTCTCATACACATGTGTGTCCATCTGTGTGCATATTTGTCTCTTGTTTCCATTTCTTCCCACACATATCTTTGTATGCCTGCTTCCCCCCCTGCATGATCACCTCTCGCTCGCAGTCCTACGGTACAGCAGAGGGGATCTTCAGCTTGGGTCATTACTTTGATGACATCAGCAGGGATGGACCCAAGGTGACGTGGCGTGCGGGGATGGTACGCTTCTCAGCTATTCTGTGCCTTGAATGGTTGGAATTCCTTCACTCTCCCCCTATGCCATTTCCCCTCACCCCCTCGCCACTCTCCTTTTTCCCCTCACCCATCGCCGCTCTCCCTTCTCCCTTCACCCCCAACCCCCCACCTCTCACCCTTCCCACACCTCACCTCTTCGTCCAGCAGGCCTTTCTGAGCGAGTTCGCAGTGCAAGGGGGGGGAGGGGATGGCAACGTGCGGGCAGCAGTGGCAGAAGCGGGGTTCCTCATTGGGCTGGAGAGGAACAGGTGAGGCTCCCCCGTGGTTCACAAGAAGCCATGGCACTTGAATGCTGCTTATTCAAATGGCATGTGCGGGCAGCAGTGGCAGAAGCGGGTTTCCTCATTGGGCTGGAGAGGAACAGGTGAGGCTCTCCTGCTACTCCCTCCGGCTGCCCTCTCTTGCTGCCTTCTCTTGAAGGGCGAAATCGAAGGTTTCTTCGAGACTCCTCCAATCTTTTCGCCCTGCTGGCCACCATCGTGCACGTCTTGACTTGAGACGTCTTGCAACCTTTTTTTTTTTTTTTTTTTTTTTTTTTTTTGTGCCACGTGCATGGCCTGACTTGACCTCTCATGTGATGCGTGCTTCCTACTCCCCACTCTCCCTCAAATTCTCTCATGTGATGGTCATCTCAACGTTCATGGCTTGACTTTACTTGACTGGACTTTGACTTTGTTCTACTTGACTTGATTTGACTACTGCACACATCCTCTCACGTCCTATTCGGCCGATCCCTCATCCCCACTTCTCCCTTCTTGCAGTGACGTGGTGGCAATGGTCAGCTATGCGCCCTTGCTGGTCAACGTGCATGACAGGAGGTGAGAGAATGGGAATGTAATTATTCCCTGTAGTGGCGCACGCCTGACCTCATTGCCTTAGACTCTCATCGCCTCTACGGCGCGCCTAGCTACTGGCTGCACCGCATGTTCCAACGCTCCAACTCACCCTCCGAGCCCCTGTCTCTGATCTTAAATGTTGCCCCAGTTGGACACCTGACCTCGTTGTGTTCGATGCCCATTGTCTCTACGGCACGCCTAGCTACTGGCTTCACCGCATGTTGCCCGCGTCGAATTAGCCCCCAACCCCCCAACTCTCCCTTTCCCGTGTTCCCCCAGCTGGACGCCTGACCTCATAACCTTTGACTCACACCGCCTGTACTGCACGCCCAGCTACTGGCTTCACCGCATGTTCCAACGCTCCAGGGGAGGCTCGCTGCTGCCCTCCCGCCTCTCCCTCTCCTCTTCTTACTCCTCCCCCTCCTCCTCCTCCTCCTCCTCCTCCTCCTCCTCCTCCTCCTCCTCCTCCTCCTCCTCCTCCTCCTCCTCCCCCCCATCCTCCTCCCCCTCCTCCTCCGCCTCCTCCCCAGTTTCAAATGCCCTTCTCTTGAATCGGAACTCTACCAGTCACGATGCACCTTCCCCAGATGTCACCTCCACCCCCCGGGGTGCTGAGGGTGGTGCTGCTGATGTGCATGCTGCAAGGCGGTTTGAAGCATCGGCTGTTCGAATCAGAAGAGATGGCAATTCAGTGGCGGCAGCTATTCTCGTGAAGGTCTGACTCTCCCCGTCCATCCCTTTCTCTCTTTCCTAAGAGCTTCTCTTGGTGCTGGCAACAGCTGAACACCTCGCGATGCATGCTCCACGTGCACTTTTGAGGTGCCTCAAAAGTAGACACCTCGCGATGCATGCTCCACGTGCACCACCCACACCAGGCAGCCAACTTCCAGCCATCTCCACTGACCCTCCTGAGTGGACCTGCAGGGAGCAGCTGCTTGGGGCTCAGTGCTGCTCACTTGCCGCTCCAGCCCTCCACATGCCCCGCCATGCCTGCTCCACTTTTCAGGCTTCTCAAAACACGCATTTCCTTTCAATTCAGCTCCACATGCCCCATCCAATGCACCCTAAACCCCATTTACCCACCCCAGGCAGCCAACTTCCAGCCATCCGCAGTGACCCTACATGTAGACCTGCAGGGCATAGCAGCCTCAGGCCCAGTGCTGCTCACTCGCCTCTCCAGCCCCTCGGGGAACCCCGATGATGGAAACTCTCTAGAGGACCCGGTTAAGGTCAGTGCCACTTCCTATTGAGAGCATTTTTGGGAAATCTCAAAGATACCCTGCAACCCTGACGATGAAAAAACACGTGAGGACCCTGTAAAGGTCAGTGCTACATCTCCCGAATGTCATTCCTGGCTTGCCTCATATGAGCTGAGATTTAAGTAGACTCTAAAAGTATGCCTGGCTTGCCTCATATGCTACGTGTTGTGAAGGTAGTTTCTGGCTTGCCTCGTACGGTATGTCGTCTTGCAACAGGCAGTTTCACTATTGCGATATTTGTTTGTACCGTAAGGCCCCGGATAGAAGCGCAGGCCTCGGATAAGCGCCGACGCTTATAAAAGGATGACGGCGCTTATATCCGGTCCTCGATTATAAGCCCACCCCCTAAAAAAAGATGATTTATTATAAGCGCATGTTTTTTTTTCATTCGAAAACCTGACGAAATGCAGAAACAAAATTCACATTATCAGGGAAACAAACTACAAACTCGATTTTCCACACTGTGATCTCAACTTTTGCGCGTCTAGTCAGCATGTGCTGTCATTCTGTCAGTTTGAGTTGGCAGGGAATCACTCCCTGCCAAGTTGCGCGAGAATCAGATTCGCGACCCCATATGTTTTCGACTCGATTACAATTGGCAGAACGAGATCTACAGTTTGGTGTAAAACAGATAGAAATTCGTTTTGCCATTTTATAAATGCCGGCACTTATAAATTTCCTCGATTATAAGCGCACCCCCTAAAAAACAGTGTTTTTTTATACCCCCAGGGGCGCTACTATCCGGGGCCTGACGGTAAGTGCCTCGTTAATTGGTCTGTGACAAAAATTCTTAGGTAACATTGTCAACATCGGTGGTGCGATATTGGTCTCGTTGTAGCACCATAACACCATAAGTCCATACAGGTGCATATCCTGTACCTGCAATTTCCATGAGGGAGTGCCGTCTTTATCGATCCAAACAGCTAGAATGTGCGATGCTGTAAGGCTGTAAGCACCCGATAATTCCTGGCTCTTCACCGTCTTGAACCTCTTGCAACCGTTGCATGGTATTGCTACCCACCTCTGGCAATGATTCACTTCAGGTCCTGTCAAACAATTTGCCTCCACATTCCCTCCCTTCCTCCACCCAGGTTTCTCCCATTGTGGATGTGCCAAATGCTACCACACTAAAATACCTGATACCGTCGATGTCAGCATTTACGGTTGAGCTCCCTATTGTGGACCTCTAGTTTAACCTTATGCTGTTGTTCTTCAGTTGTAAATCTGCTTGCAGTTCTTGAGGATAGAAATCTCAAACACATAGAGAATGGCACATGTATACACTCTGATATGGCGTTTTGTAACAGACGGTGTGGTCTTCCCACTCTACTAGCACAGGGTGAGAATGTTGTGATGTGAGTGAGTTTCTAGCGGATAACAGCGTAAGCTACAGTTCACTTTCGGCAGAGCGTATTCCACTGTAGAGCATGTATTTGCAGTCTTGGTGACCTCAGAGGGCAAACTGTACAATCGCTTCGTACACATGGTGCTCAACCCCTGCGCGCAAATTTTCTCGGTACACGAAAGAAAATCTGCACCCGAACTTTTGGTGCTGAGCTGTTGCACCCACTTTAGAAGCCCCTAGAGCAAGTTGGAGTGATGATGAACCAATGGTAACGAATGCTGACCAAAGTCAACTGTCAATGCATTGATTCTGAACCAATGGTGACGAAGAGTTCGACGTCAACTTTCAACTTGTAACCACCCTGAATTTTATAAGCCCTTTTTTGCTAGCTGCGACGTTGACGAATCTTGCGAAACGCAAGAATTAATTAAAGGCCCTCTTCTCAAGGCAAGGTTGGGGAAGTCAAACGAGCTTTATGTGTACCCCAAACCAAACTGAGTCAAACTTCTCGATGCTGGCGCATTCCGTACCTAAGATATGCTTGGCTGAGATTGCCGAATCACAATGCACCAGGTTTTTGCCAGCTATCACGCGAACACCTGGTGGTTGGCCTGGCGTGGATTTACTCACAAGGACGAGCTTGCTGACGTGCCAGAAAAACTAGGGCCATGGAATCTACACAGTCCAGGTTGAATCGAGGCTCGATGGACATTTTATTGGGGGAGTGTATCATATGTGCAGCTCAGGAGTGTGATGGTGTTGATCCTCGAAGGGTGCTCTGAACCCTGATCCAAGGGCAAGGTTTTATAAACCCAGTTACTGTACCTTTCAAAGTGGCAGAGGCTGAGCAAAAGTCTCCTGAAAATGGTCGCTTCTCGAAACTATTGCGGAAATTTCCAGTACTGTACATAATCAAGGAAAGCTGGTCCCGCGGACTTGGTGCTGTGTCACGGTATCCCTTGGCTAAGGGTGGAATGGTGCTGCATCTATGGACGAACAAATATGGTTACTTTGTCAAGCTTGTGTGGAGCTTCCAACAAGGTTTTGGTGGCTGCCAAATCTTCATGTTTCTCGCATCCAAACCACCAACATATCTCATGGTTCTGTTTTTTGCCACCCTATCCCACCCAAAAGTGTTACGGGTGCAATGAATCTAGGTAGCGAGGATTGCACTAGAGTGTTCAATGAGTACAAAATATGAGCGAAGGCATGAGCGAATAGTTATACGCGAAAATGTCCAAACGGTAACGCGGTGTGTGCGAGCTAGCTAGTGCGACGCTGGCGCGAGGTTCGGGATAGTCCCGAAGCGTAGGCCGACTCGGCTGCTCCAGCAGTGCGAGGTTTGGTGAAATAGTGCGCGCGAAGTTGGCGAAGCCTCGTTAGCAGTAACGGGCGAACAACGGCTGCTGCTGTACGCGATGTGGACGGTCGCGGTAAGGAATAGCGAAAAAATTCCTTACAACAAGCCTCATCATCCGCCAAAACCAAACCCAACATTTCTTCCAACGCCTTCACTCCGCCATGGCGGCGTGTTTTCATCATGTTGTGCTGAGAAAAGCCCTTAGGATCTTTCAAGGCTAAGATCAAGTGTTGAAGTAGGGATGTTGTAATTTGCGGAAGCGTTGTAATATCAGATTTGCTTGAACCACCTTGCACTAGTATGTGAGAACAAGATAAGTTAATTAATGGCAGGGAAATACAAGGCTTTTATATGATTACAAAGAAATATGAAAGGTTCTACTTTCAACTGTTTTGCTGTTGCGGTTCGATATAGTGCCGACTCGGGTAACTGCTCAGTAACGAGTCAGTTATGTATCCTTGCTGTCGCACTGTACTTTTTGTCAAGTCAAAGGTCAGCGAGCTTTGACCTTCGCGTAACCACCTGTGGTTGTTTTTGTTGACTCGCGTGTTTCTTCGCTGTAGTCTGCTCCGTTTCGTGTCGATACTTCGATACTTCAGGAGCGTTTAAATTACTTGTTTCCAACACATCTTTGCGGCGTGTTTCATTCATGGGAAAGTACATCCCAACTCCATGTTTTCAGAAATCTCTCAAAATTAGTCAACTGTTTACTCAAAAAGCACAGCTTTATGGAATTTTGCCTACGCTAGACCCACATTATGTTCAAAACTGGTCCTGTGGGGCAAAATTTTCGACACGTGTCCATTTTTGCTCCGGATTTTTTTTGACGCAGAAAAAAACATAAAACTCATAGGGGGACCAAGACACATTTTCGGGAGGGATCAACCCTAAACACGGGGACCCGCAAAGTGTTTAGGATTGGTCCCTCCCGCGAATGTGTCCTGGTTCCCTAGGGTTTTTATGTTTTTTTATCCTCATAAAAAAAATCCAATGCGAAAATGGACACGTGGCCAAAAATTTGCCCCGCAGGACCAGTTTTGAACATAGTTTGGGCCTCGCGTAAGCAAAATTCAAATGAGTTATACCTTTTGAGTGAACTTAGGACTAAATTTGAGAAATTTCTGAAACTCGGGACCTGGCATGTATTTTCCCTTCATTCATCCTCTTGATCTCCGACCCGATGTGGCATTCATGCCAGCCCCGCCACGCCCGAATCTGTGACCACCGCCATCAGCCTCTCGTGACAATTCTAGCCAGCGGATGAAGAGGAAGTGAAGTGCGAGGTTTCGCCGCCTCAGTCGCTTAGGAGCAGCTTTTGCCATTCAAATATGTCACCATGAGCTTTCGGACCTAAATGCTAGCTCGTGACAAATCTGAGGAAATGTAATATGTTAGCTTTCTCGAGCTTCCGTTGTACCTTGTCCGACTTCCGATCCTTTTGGATCTCGGCCGATAGTATTCCTAGGTTCTTCTAGTTGATTCAAGTTTCTGTCCCTGGATCGTCGTCGCCCTCGTCGTCAAAGCCCGAGTCGCATGGCCTGCGACCCACTGTCGTCGTTTGGCGGAGGGTGCGAGCTCTCGGACGTGGCGATGGCTCCTGCGACGGCCATTCCGCGCGATGTATGGACTGTCGCTCAGTCTGGAGTGGCGCCGCGCGACGTCGTCGTGGGTTCGCTGCTCGATCGCAAGCGGCGGTCGCCTCAATGCGACAGTCGCGAAGCGTTCAACCTCGCAGGTCGTGATCCCTCGGCCGCTCCGACGGACGCGTTACGCGACATTCACGGAGTTGAGTCTCGCGCCATTCATGCACGCGTGGCCGTCGCCGCGCCGTCAGGAACGAGGTCTACCTTCACTCAGCCGCCATCGCCGCCGGCGGCGGCGGCGGAGGCAGTGCTAGGTTTTAGAAGATCAGCCACAGACGAAGCCAGAGATCTTGCCTCCAAAACATTCCATCGAACCTTAACCACAACCTCCAATCCCGCGGCGCGGCCCCTTTTAGATCCAGACAGTATCTTGCTGGATAGTGACATGGTCCGTGCCACGTGTCCGTCATCGGTAGACCCGTTTCGTCACGATGTTCCCGCAAGAATCCCGCAATTGCAGGACTGGAGCGTGGCATCTGGCAGATCTTTTCTCCCGCGTCTCGACCGGATCCAAATAAGCCGCCCCGCGCCTTCCCCAGGTGTTGCCTTCCCCGGCCACGACCGCCCCCGTCCCGCGCAACAGCACGAGTTAGGGCTATCCGCGTCCGCGCCGCACGGCTCTCTTCCGTTGAGGCTGCAGTGCTCGTGGATGTGGGAGCAGCCGCTTCAGTTAAGTCAACCGAGTCAACGGAGTCAACCGCGTCAACTGGTCGTTTTGAATCAGTCCACAGACGAACCGCCACTTGCGGTCCTCACGCATAAAAAGGGAGCTCAACATGCCGCATCGTCACTCCCCTCGAGCCACTCACCAACGGCCTTGGCGCTCTCGTCGCAGCGCGCATTCGCCCAAGAAGACTGGGGGCAGGCCGTGCATTCGCCACTCAAGAAGCCACGTGGCAGTCCCGAGGCGATTGGGCGGCAGGCGGTGGCTCTAGCGGTCAGCGAACGGGAGGAGGAGATTTTCCAGAGGCGGCGCGAGCAGCGGCTGCGGATTCTGGGCGGCTTGAGACACGCGCTCGATGAACCAGCGGCGGCTTGCGCGGCTGCCGCTGCCGGCCTCGACGGGCAAAGCCCGCTGTTCGTGCTCCGCCAGGGTCCGTTCAGTTGCCGAATATCAAGTCGTGCTTGTAACGCGGAAAAGGCTGGTAGTCAGGGGGCTGTGACTGAAATGAGAGAACGGGGAGTCGCGACAGGAGGGGGCGCGGTTGAGGGGGCCGACACAACCGCCGCCAGATTCGCACCCGGAGTGTGGGGCGAGGCAGGCGCAAACGACGGTGGCGGTGGGCTAGGAAGGCGGAGCGACGAGGTGTGCAATGGGGCTGGCGCATTGGCGGAGCCGCGAACACTGGGGGCGACATTGGCGGTGGAACTCCGCTCGACGATGCGCGTGGAGGTTACTAGTCCGCACGCCGCCGCGCTCGCCTCGCTCGATGCGCGCAAGGCCCTCCCGTTTCTCGCTGCGCCGTTTGCGCCGCTTCCGGCGGGCTGGAAGCAGCAACGGCGCGTGCGAGCGCGCTCTGCCTTTGAAAGCCGCGACCTGATGGGCGGAGGGGGGGAAGGCTTCCCCGGCTCCCCGGCGCACGCGGAGCTGCTCGCGGAAGGCGCGTTGCGCTCGCCCGCACTGGCGCGGGAAGCTGCGGAATGCGGGAAGCGCGCGCAGAAACGGCGGAATAGCAGCGAATGGGAGCTGTACGCGGGCGGGGAAGAGGCGCGCGGGGAATGGGGGCGCGGGGAAACGGGCGGGCCGGCGGACGCCGGGCGCGGCGGAAGGAGTAGCAGGGGCGGAGATTCGAGCGTAGAGACTCGGCGGGATGGCACTGGGCAAGGGGAGGGGGGAGGGGAGGCGGAACGAGGAGGGCAGCACGAGGTGGAGTCGAGGGGAGGAGCGCGGAAGGAAATGGAGAAGGAGGGAGCGAGGGAAGAGGAATGGGAGTGGGAACGAGCCGAGGTGAGGCGGGAAGAGGGACAGGGGACATTTGACATGTTGACCTGGGAACAGGGGCAGTGGCAGTGGCAGGGGCAGGAGGCGGAGATGCAATGGCAAACGATTGGTCCTCCGTGCTTAACGCCTGGGCAGGCAGAGCAGCAGCAGCTAGAGCAGCAGAAGGGGCAGGGGAGGGAGCAGCAGCAGTGGTGGCAGCAGGGGGGAGCGCGGAAGCAGCGTGCGATGGAGGGGCTGGTTGAGGAGGGTGTGAGGGCGCCTCTTGTCCCATACCTGCGCTCCGCTAGCCAATCGCACGCGTGCTCGCCCCTCATTCTGACTCCCTTCTCGGCTCCACATACTCGTGATAGGTTGCTGGGTGGTTCTGGAGGGAGGTTGGGTGCTGCTGCGGGCCCTGCTGCTGCTGCTCCTGCTGCTGCCGCCCACCGCAGGGCAGCCAGCTCTGTGCCCATTCTGGGCGGCACGCTGGCGGTGAACAGAGTTGGCCAGGTGGACAGTGAGAGTGGAGGCGTTTTTTCTTCTTCTGGTGTGGCTGGGGGTGCTGCTGAATTCCCTCTGTGGGTGCGGAACAGTGAAGCGGAATCGTATCTGCACTCTGCCGCCCAACCAGTGCTGCTGTCTGAGAGTATGGGGGAGTTATAAGAATGGCTACAGGAGCCGCAGATACAATTGCTGCGGGCCAGATTGGTGCAGACCAGACTGGTGCTCGTGCTGCTGCCTCTGTTGTTGATAGCTCGTGCATGCCCCTCTTACTCCCATACCTCCTCCATCCATTCCTCGACATGATCTGCTCTTCATGCTATCGAACCCCCCCGTGTAGATCACCCCAGGGTTTTCCAAATCCCGTATTGAAACTGGGTTGGGGGTTCAACAAACAGTGGCCGGAAATATGAAGGGTGCTTCAAAATGGACTTACACTTGAGTGTTTATAGGCTGAGATGCCGGCCGGTCCTTAATCATCCTCATTTGGTCTGTCTGTAGGGCCAGACCAGAACGACTTACCGAAAATACGGCACACCCTATAAACATTGTTTGGGGCATGATGGGTCCATATGCAGGTGTTTTGTCCATGTACGTTGGGATGCATGTGTCAGAATCAACTACCGGTATGCATGAATGGTTGACTAGCAAGCAAGGATGAGTACAAGTACCGTATCGCCCCGGATATATTCGAGGCCTATTATAAGCGCATGCGCTTATAGGTATATGGAGCAATGCGCTTATGGCCGATCCTCAATTAGAAGCGCACCCCTTATAAAATCGTTACTTATTATGTATAAGCGCACCCTTGCAGTAAAAAAAAATATACTTGATGAATATTTGTCATTATTGTTAGAGCTAAAGCAAGGCTAGCTTTCATTAGTTGTAATTTTGCACTAGCTAAAAATTTCACATAAAATAGGGTGACTATTGTCTGTCAGACTGTATTTGCTGTCTAGCCTGCAGTGGGGTACTCTGTAGAGTACAACCCAATTTAGGGTTTGCTAGTACCGTAAGGCCCCGGATAGAAGCGCAGGCCTCGGATAAGCGCCGGCGGTTGTAAAAGGGTGATGGCGCTTATATCCGCTCCTCGATTATAAGCGCACCCCTGGAGGCTTACGGATTTTAAGCGCACCCCTGTAGTGTGACACATTATAAGCGCCTCCCTTTTTTTATTTCGACTATTTTTATCCTATCTTTTACAAGCTATTTTCACTACAACATAATATTTTTCCGATTCTACTACGGTGCTACCGTAAATCCTACTGATAGTTTACCGCAACATTCACTAATCTTCTCTAGCATCCTATGCATTCTTTTCTTCCTAGCATCCTATGCATCATCATCAACAGTGGCGGAGCCATCTTGGTCGGTCTCCCCGTCCGACTCTGGCTCCTCTACGTTGTTGCAGCGAGTTATCGCTAGTCGCGTGTCACGTCGTCGTTTGCGTGTCGTGTGCGGTTTTTCTATTTTGTCGTGTGTGGAACGTTCGGCGTGTCGCAGGTGTGCGCAGCAGACTTCCAAGAACTCAAGGAAGAATTTAGCTTGAAGAACCAGAGCCTTGGTTTCAAGAATCAAGTGATTTCGAAGCTCTCCAAAAGGGTAAACTTTAAGATAGTGAGAATAGTTGCATTACTTTGTGTAGTGTAACATTTCTCTTGGTGTAGGCCCTTGTGGAGGGTAGTTTCGAGATCCTTCGTGGTTGGGGACAGTGTGACACTGTTCCACATCACTGTACCTCGGCTCTTGGGGTTTGTAGGAGCTGGGAGTCATTCCCAACTCGTAACTCTTCCTATCTTTGTGTTCTAAGTCTATAGTGGCTGCCATTGTGCCGTTCGTTCAAACCGACGTTGCGTCCTCAATACTTGCTGAAATCAAGTGATTTAAATTGCCTGTTGTAGGCGACATCAAGACGCTCCAGATCCATTTTATAGCAAGTCATTTGAAGCTGTGAGCAGAACGTTATCAACACTTGAAGCCGCTGAGCAGAAATCCGACTGTGCACTCTATTTTTCGTTTTAGGCACATTCAAGCCTACTGTGACTATAACAAGTGGTATCAGAGCCCCTTGGAGCAGTTTCGACAATGGCTGGACCTGATGAAAGGGGTGGCAGAGGTGCTGGTAGCAGTGGAGAAGCCCAAGCTCAAGGCCAACCCCGTGATTCAGCTATGGCGCCCGTGCAACCAAGTCTTGGCCCACCTAGGGATGAGCCTAGGGTGTTTGGGCTTGACAAGTTCAATGGCGACAACTTCGCTGAATGGTCCTTCAGAATGGAGAATGTATTTGAGCACTATGACCTGCTGGAGGTGATGGAAGGAACGGAGAAGCGCCCCGAGAACGACCCGGAGAAGAGCCCGTGGGTGCGGAAGAGCGCACAAGGCTATCTCCTACTTGGGCAAGCGTTGGGGAGCAGCCAGATCCGTCACATCAAGCCATTCCAGCGTGAACCAGAGAAGGGACCAAAGGCATGGGCTGCTCTCAAGGGTGTACACGCTCCTGCAACAGCGGCGGTAGCGGTGGTGTTGGAACGGCAAATGGCGGCACTACGAATTGAAGAAGACGAAGCGGTTGAAGAAGGGGTGCAGAAATTCTTCGACTTGTTGACGCGGCTTGAGGGAGCTGATTTGAACTACAGTGAGCTCCAAAAGAAGACCAAGTTGCTGGCCTTACTCCCAGAGTCATGGTCCTCGCTCATCATCAACCTCAATCGTGACTTGCCCTGCCTCTCGCTTGAAGACGTGAAGCGAGCAATCCTTCAAGAGGACTTCCGCCGCCGTGAGTTGGCGAGTGCGGATAGTGCCGGGGAAGCAAGCATCGGCCGAGGGTATGGCCGTGGAAGGGGCAGAGGACGAGGGGGAGGCAGATTTGGCAGCAACAACTTCAATGGAGGCCGCGGGAGTGGCGGATACGGCAGCGACAACAAGAGCTACGGACACGGTCGCGGCCGATTCGACGGCGAGTGCCACTATTGTCACAAGAGCGGACATATGTGGCGCGATTGCTACAAGCTCCCTGATGGATGGACTCCTGCTCAAGGCCAAGAGGGTAGAGGAGCAGGAGGAGGGAGAGGAAGAGGCCGTGGAGGCCGTGGCGGTCGCGGAGGTGGTGCTGCAAGTATGAAGAGTGCCGGCAACGAGAGCGAGTCGAGGGACGATCGCTTTCCGGGTCAATTCTTCTTCGTGTCCACGCAAGCACCGGCTGGTCCAGAGAAGGATGAAGGCTTTGAGGAGCCAGCAGCTGTGGGGAAGGTCACCCTACACTCCCTGGACTATTGGGTGATCGATAGCGGTGCTACCTATAGCATGACACCTCGTGCGGACTTGCTCACCGAACTTGAGCCGTCACCGGTGAAGCATGTGACATCGGCTTTGGGGCAGCGAGCAGAGGTGAAAGGCATGGGCAAGGCCATGTTCAAAGGTGCTTATGGGAAGATGGTGGGCCTCAAGAACGTGCTTTGGGTGCCCAACCTTGCTGCCAACCTGATTTCCGTGCGGCGGTTGCAAAAGGCCGGCATGGACACGAGCTCGAAGGGAGCTAAGACCTACACCGCGAGGCTTGGCGAGCGGATTCTTTGGGACCTTCACGAAGATAGAGATGTCTACAACGAGATGTGGCAAATCCCTGTGGTCCCCATGCCTAAGGAGAGGCAAGTGGCAGCAAGCATCAGCACCAAGGGTGAAGCGGTTGGTAGCGGCGATGGCGCGAACGGTCGCGCCAAGGAGATGAAGTCCAAGAAGTGCAATCTTGGAGGGACCAGCAAGCTCGGTGAACATGAGGAGAGTGGTGCAGCAGCTCAAAAGCAGCACAAGGGTGAGGAGAACCCCAAGGCAGCAGCGGAGGAGGAGTATGGAGAGAACATGTGGGGCACTATTGCGAGTGCGGCATTCTCCAATCCGACTTCGGCTACGGGGGAGTGTGATTGGCTCACCTTGCATCGGCGAATGGGGCATGTGGCCCTGCCCATCTTGCAGCAGCTAGTGAAGAATGAGATGGTTGCTGGCATACGTGTGAAGGGGGAGCCCGATGAGGTACTTGGCTGCCCGACGTGCATGCAAGCCAAGTTCACCCGTTACCCGTTCTCTAGTTCGGAGGCAACGGCTAAGGCACCACTTGATGAGGTGGTGATGGACGTGGTGGGCCCCCTGAAGCTTGGAGCTGCTGGAGCTGAGTACTTTCTCACCATTGTGGACGTCTACACTCGGATGACTTGGGTGTACGTGCTGTCCAAGAAGAGTGACGTGGCTGAAACGGTGAAGACCGATTGGTTGCCGATGGTGGAGCGGCAACAAGACCGGTTAGTGAAGGCAATTCGCACCGATCGAGGGGGAGAGTTCCTGAGCAAGGAGTTCTCATTGTGGCTGAAGAAGAATGGCATAAGGCACTCCCTTACCATGCCATACTCCCCTGCAATGAACGGCATCGCCGAGCGAGCGAACCGGATAATCACGGAGACGGCGCGTGGGTTGCTCATTGAAGCCGGGCTACCCGAATATTTCTGGCCTGATGCGGTGCGGAGTGCGTGTGTGGCCAAGAACAGAGCCTTGACTCATGTGGGAGCAGACAAATGGGTGCCCTATGTGGAGTGGATTGGAAGGAAGCCAAAGGTGGATATGCTTCGGGTGTTCGGGTGCATGTGCATGGCGCTCGTGCCTAAGCATCTTCGGCACAACAAGCTCGGTGCCAAGGCGATATGGGCTGTGCACTTGGGCATGGCTCAAAACAGCAAGGGGTGGCTTCTTTGGGACCCATTCACTAAGAAATTCTTGGTGAGCAGGGACTGCAAATTCATGGAGAATCTGATGTACAAGGATTGGAAGGCGCAGAATGAGGCAAAGATAGGCATGCGGTTTGGGGAGGTGAAGAGTTCCGGTTTGGAGCATGTGGAGCTGCCCTTGGAGCTGAGCAGTGGCAGCACCACCACAAGGCAATATTCCCTTGTGAATGGGGGAGAGGAGGCCAAGGATGCAGAGGAAGAAGAGGAGGAGGTGCAGCAAGTGAGCGAGCGTGCACCGACACTTCCTTCTCGCACTACGAGTGCTCCACGGATCCGAGTCACCCCGCAGCAACGCCAAGGCCTTCATGTCCCTGCAGCTGAGGAAGAAGGAAGGGGCAAGAGGAGAACCCAAGCCCCAAATAGGCTGACCTATGAGGCACTGGGAAA